AGAGGTTTCTGAACATTTTGGCATACCTTAGAAAAAATGGATGTATGTGTGTGTGTGTGTGTATGTGTGTGTGTATGTGTGTGTGTATGTGTGTGTGTATGTGTGTGTGTATGTATGTACGTGTGTGTATGTATGTACGTGTGTGTATGTATGTGCGGATACAAATTTTCGTCGACGATTTCGGGAACACGGATAAACCGATTTGAATAATTCAAAAAACATTCGATTCGTATTGATAAGGAGACGTGCTGATTAGTTTTTGGCGAAGGCAGGTCTAGCCGTTCCAAAGATACGGGGCAAAAAGTGCCGAAAACGGTAACTCAGTTTTTAAGAGAACGGAGCGTCCGATTTGAATAATTCAAAAAACATTTTACTTGTATTGACAAGATGAAGAATTGATTAAATTTTCATGAAGGCAGGTCTAACGGTTTCGGAGATCAAATGAAAAAAGTAAAAAAAAATGCCATTTGGCGGCCAAAAATGATCATTAGACATATGCACATCAAATTATCAGATATTTTATAGAGATTTTAACAATAAGTATGAATTTGGTTTACAGTCCTATGGGTTCCGTACCAGTGTTTACGCGTTAGGCGGCGACGTGGCGCTTTACGCTCTTTGATAATTCGTCTTTATGCAGTTAAAGCAGTACGATTGCTTTGAAAAAAAGTTTAGATCTTTCAAAATATGTCACAATAAGGAAAATATTTTTTTTTTCAAAAAAAAAAAAAATAAAAAAAAATTTTTTTTCGAAAAAAAAATTTTTTTTCAAAAAAAAAGTAATTTTTTGTCCAATTTATAGTTTTTCAAAAATCTTATTTTTTCGAAGTAAAATTTTTTCAAAATTGTTAATCGTTTTTTAAAAAAAAAATAATTTTTGGTACGGGAAGTTCCAGCAATTTGCCTTAAGGCACGATGCCTTAATTGCCTTAAGACAGAATTCCACTTACAGCTAGTTTATTGTTTACACCTTTGTCAGGGTAAAGTTTTAGTTGATCTTTTTTACTACACGTACGTATAAGATATTATAGAGGTTATATGAAAATAAGTGTTGAAACTAACTTAAAAACAACAATACATCTTATAAAACAATTGAACATAATGTAACTAAACAACAGTGCCCACAAGCAAAAAATAACGAAAGAAAATTGTTTTGTTATAGGTTTTCTATTAAATACATGATAAAATTGAGATTGTAGTGCCGAAAAGGTAATGGAAATATAGTTTAGGAGCTTTGAAACGTAGAATATAAAAATAAGTCGGGTTTTCCTTCCTGACGATATGACTCCAGAACGCACGAACCGATTTCGACAATTTTGCGAAAGTCTCGGGCTCCGGAAGGTTTATAGCTAAGAAACTTAGTGGTACATAGCATCGTGCCTTAATGCAAATTTCTGGAACTTCACGCACCTTAAATAAAAATTCGAGTAATAAAAATAATCAACAATTGTTTTAAATAATTTCAAATAGGTTATCTACATATATATAAAAATAAGTCGGGTTTTCTTTCCTGACGATATAACTCCAGAACGCACAAACCGATTTCGACAATTTTGCATTCGTTCTAAAGGTCTCGGACTCCAAAGGTTTATAGCTAAGAAAATTAGTGGTACATAGCATCGTGCCTTAATGCAAATTGCTGGAATTTCACGTACCGTAATTACAAATTCGTGTAATGACATTAGTGAGAATTATCAGAATTAGGCTTGGTTAAGTCAACGAGCAATTCTTGGCGCAAAGAATAATGATGTACACGCACTGAATCAAAAATTGCTGGCGATTTGGTGACATACCAATGATTCCGACTGGTCTTCCGTTTGTCTTCAAACAATTGCAATTTCCAGTTCGCCTTGCGTTCGCAATAACAAGTCGCAAGGCCAATCGCTTAGTGTTTGCGGGATAAATTTCAAATAGATTATTCAGAAAATCATTGTTTTTCACATGGGCAGTTTTACGTTGCCTGTTCACGAATTGGAAAACCATCCGCTTTGTTTGTGTTAACGTCAGACCAAAAAACAAAAAATGTGGTTTACCAAAGAACACTTCAATGAAACGGATAATTTGCGGATTCACTTTCATTTACTTATTTTTAGGGAAGTTTAACTAAAAAACACTTCATTCTTGTAATCGAAATAAATTCATTACTGTTGTGTAATAAAATAAATTTTTCCTTTTCAAATATAAAACAAACAAAAAATTTCTTCATCTTTCTTACGAAACCACCTGGTGGCGAAACGAAATTCGTCGGGTTTGCTGGTAAAATAATAAAAATATTTATACCGATTGCGACAAATGAAGAACGAAATCTATTTCCATCGCATGCAATTTATATTGTAAACAAAAATCGATCATATCGCATAGGCCTATTTATACTAGTTAGGCTGCAGTATCTGAGATCGTCGCGGCGCACTCGCTGCATCCGTCACGGAGCGGTGCCTCGCGGCTTCGTTCGCATTCCGTGAATGTTTTGAAGCCTCTGGTCTCTGCGCAGTACAGGAACGTCTGTACCGTACGCGTCTCGCTGTTGAATCTATTCTGTTTTCTTCAGATACTACAAGTAGTGATGGGAAATTTAAACCGATCATAATAAATTCGACTTAAAATACTGCCTTTGAATAGATGAAAATTGTTTGGTGTAAAATTTTAGCACTTTAGCACTTGGCTTGCTTTGTCAAATTTACTTTGAGGTATTCAAAGGATTGAAAATTTTTGGAAACTTAGATATTTAATTTTGAATTAATGATTTCGCAGTATTTATAAATCTAAAGTTTGAAATATTTTTCAAATTTTTATTAGATTTAAATCTTTTTAAAATATTTAGATATACGATAATGTTTTTCGGCAAATATATTTTTATATATAATTATTTATTCGTATAACAAATTTTTAATGCATTACGCATGATAAAAAAATCTACTTATGCATTTTGTGTATATTAGTGTGAAGCAGTAACAGTTGGAAACAAATTGAATTTTTTGAAATTCTGAAAAATATTTCATAGCATTTCATATAAATCCAGAGAAAATCGTAAAAGTAAATTTTTGAGGTCCTTGTATGCTGTTGCAAAATTTAGAAAATAGAATGTAAAAAGATATACGTTTTGGTATGAAATCACACCACGTAATTTATAGCAAGAACTAAAACATAAAGTAAAAATAAACGCATATGAATGATATGCCTATATAACTTATTTATGAATTACCCGCCGAAACTTATTAATGACCATACTTCCATATCGGTACATGGATTGGTAAACCCAAATTAGTAAAATCTCTATAAAAAATCTAGATGTTTCGATATGCATTTACTAATTTAACACTTTGAAATGGCTGTTTATCCCTCATAGGCCTGCGAAGCAGTTTCTATTAAAATGCACTGGTCTGCGCATTAAAAATACTAATTGAATATTTCGAACTTTCCAAATTGGTACAGCCTATTTATTAACACATTCATCGCCAGGATATATTAAATATGAATTTTTTATGCTATAATTTCTAGAATGACACATTTTTTATGTCATACATATATGACTGACATTGCCATGTACAGAAATTTTTGTTTATAATAGGCCAAAATTTCAAAACATGGTGCAAATGTATCGTTTGCTAGCAAATTTTGAAAATTCAATCATTTTTATAATTGAACCAGTTTCCGTAGTACTTTAATGGTTTAGTTATGTTCATTAAGACCAAGAACTCTATCGTTATACCAAGTAAATTGTCTAATTTTAATTTTAACAAACGTCAAAAAAAATTACTCATTTTGTAAAACCTTGATAAATTTTCAAAATTAAACTACTTGTCGTAAGGCCGTAATATTTCAGTAAGTTCTATAAGACCATGATATACATGTATATCGCAAAAAAAAGTTCCATAAAAATTGGCTTAAATTTTTTTTCAACAGTTAATTATAAGAAAACGGCACCTAAAACTAATCAGTATCATTTTCAACTAATATCTTTCGAACAGCTTTTGATTTTTCAAAATCGATTCGGTAGTATGAGCTTAAATGTGGACGAAACGTTTACCACTTTTTTCCAAATGACAAAGAAACGGCTTGGCAGATCGTCGCACAAAACTGACAAACGATAGTTCTCATCGAGATACATCAAATGGCTTTTAAATTTCTGAAATCGGTTCAGGCGTTTCTGACAAAACGTCGATGAAAGTTCTAATTTTGACAAATGCCAAAAAAGCGATACCAATTTTTGCAAATTTTAAACGAGTTGTCGTAGGGCCATAATATTTTAGTACGATCTAGAAGACTATGGTATCTATCGTCAAAAAAATAATAATAAAAATCGTCGAAAAATAATCCACCAAGAACTCATCAGCACGATTCCCAACCAATATCTTTCGAACTTACCTTAGTCTAAGGTAACATTAGGAAATAATTTAAAAATGATTAGAACACCTTTCTGAGTGATGGTCCAGTTTGAATACGCAACGAGCTAAGTCCTGCAATTTCTTAAACTTTTGAATCGAATCTGTGAAACAAGTGGCTTCGTAATTTCATATACAATATTTTGCATCAGAACAAGTATCATCGACTTCATAGTTTTGACATCACTAAAGCCGCCCGTACTAGAGACCATCGGGCCTAGTACGAAACGAAGCCCTTTTCCCGCGCATAGTGGTACATCATCAAATACTACCGACGCACACAGGTATTCAAACATGCATCTGCGTATGTATACAAAATATTATATAAAGCACACATCAAAAAATAGTATGTATGTCGGGGGCCGACGCTCCCATAAAATGAGTATGCCCGCACTACTTGCGTCTCGCCCAGAAGGCAAACCAATGTTATCCATCCATCTCTTTCGCAGACATCGTTCTGTCTCGGTCTGAGCCCGACGACTCGTCGGGTATCGTGCCGTTTCTTCGCACTCGCTGCGCTTGCGCTTCTACCTACTCTGCTCATACAAAGCTGCGGTCTCATACCATTGCATTTCCCGCGGTTTGTTTGGCTTCGGTTCACTCAGTATACGCGTAAACTTTGTGCAGAGAGCTTGTTGCACATGTTTTTCTTTGCTCATTTTTATGTAAAAAACATATTTTTCATTAAACAGTGCACGTCGATGATTGAATGTCTGATTTTATAAACTTATGAATACAATCATTTAAGTGTCATTTGTTGCTGTGAGATAAAAGACTGTGTTTTGTATAAACTAAAGTGCATCTGAGTGTATTTGTGAACTGTTATGTTTATACGAGGCGTTTATACCATTGTTTGAGTTAAATTGTAAGTACAAACATACATCATGTTTATTAAGGTTTTACTTTTTGCTGTACCGAAATTTGATTCATGTGCTATTTATTAAATATGTTTCAAACACAATCATGTAAATCACAGTAACAATTTTATATTACTCGTACAACAAGCGACGACCAATAAAGTAATTTCATTATCTAGAACATTTTTACTACCCATTGTATTTTACAATCGTAGTACTCTCGGTTTGTTTACGTTCGTATGCGGGAGTACTACGAAAAGCAATCGATTGCGACCCTCTCTCATGAATGAGGAAACGTGCGAAGGTTTTGATAGTATAGAAGTTAAATTAAAATAAGAACAATCATTAATCGAGATATGAATGAACACAATATCATTTTATAGTCGTATATTTTATTATACTTTAATTCTGTAATTTTCCTGAATTTAAACTGGTATAGTTGAAAGTGGCATTTTGCCATAAACTTTCCGATGGATGTAATAATTGACTTAATGAACTGAAATTGAGATTTAGATATTTAGATAAAATTTTCAACTGTTTATTTCAAAAATAAATTTCGCCTACACTTAAATAAAAATATTGCGATTTCCAATTGATCTACAATGATATATATATATTAATTTAGTGCACAGTATGACTTAAAATTTTAGCTTGTTATTGCAAATTTTAATTAATTTATAAAACTCAGCCGATTTTCGTAGGACTGTTTATCGCCATGTTAAATTCCATTTTGACACTTTTGATTGTCATTTTTTTCAATTTTTTTTTTAAGATTTATCGCCAAAAAAGTTTCATAACTAGAGGGGTGGATGGAATCGTGCCTTAAGGCAAATTGCTGGAACTTCCCGTACCGTAACGAAATGTTCGAGGAATATTAAATGCTTTCGAATAGATTATTATAAATAAATACTGTAACATAGTTTAACATTTATAAGAATTATATAAACTGAATTGCAAAGTTGAAATTATTTGTTCAAAGTATATTAGAACTTTAGTCAGAATTAAAAATAAAATCTAAATTATTTTCGATATACAAAAAATTTAAAAAAAAATTTGAATTTTTTTTTTTTTCAAAATCAATTATTTTGTTAAAACAAGCAGAAAGTTATTTGAATCATCTGAATCGGACGCTTAGTTCTCTCAAAAACTGTCATTTTTGCACATTTTGCTCTGTATCTCCTAAACCGCTGGACCTGCCTTTGCCAAAAACTAATCACCCCTTCTGCCCGTCAATACGAATTGAATGTTTTTTGGATCATTCAAATCGGATGCTCCGATTTCTCAAAAACTCAATTTCTATTTTCTGCACTCTTTGCTCCATATCTCCGAAACTGGTGGACCTGCATTTGCCAAAAACTAATCAGCACATCTCCCTATCAATAGGAATCGAATGTTTTTTGAACCATTCAAATCGGTTGATCCGTGCGCCCGAAAACGTGGACGAAAAATTGTATCCATACATACATACACACTCACACACACACATCCATTTTTTCTGAGGTATGCCAAAATGTCCAGAAACCTTCAGAACGTCGAGAAATGTAAAAATTTTCAATTCCGATTTTCGGCCCATTACAATAACTTACCCTACGGGAAGTTAAAAATTGACAATTTTTTTTTAACATTTAATTACTAAGAAACAGATTGGCCGATCTTTACCAAATATTAATCAGTATCATTTCCAACCATGTTTTGAACGATTTTTGAAGTTTTTAAAATCAATTCTGAAACGCGGGCTAAAACGTGGACAAAAAATTTACACTTTTCTGATATTTACAAAGAAACGGCTTGCAAGATCGTCGTGCAAAACTACGAAACGATGTCCTTATTGGAGCAGCCCTTCCATTGACGAAATCTGTAACAAATCGACTCACATACACACACATACTTTTTTCAAATTTGGCCTCGTTCGATTCAGAATGACTTGAAACATCTAGAAAACATAAAATTAACAAATCGATTTTTTTAGAGAAAACAAATCTCTCCTTCGAGAAGTTAAAAAAGAACAATCATTAATCGAGCTTGCTTGATATGAATGAACAGAATAAATTCCAATTTATTTTTAGTATTATTAGATCACTGCAAATGTTATTTTTAAATGTTTGTTTACTATTTCTAAAAATAGACTTATATTTTTCCTGAACATAAATTAGTAAAAATCTTCTCGACGTGTTATTATTGTAAATAAATAACAGCATAAATATGATCTGGTAATTCCGATGGCCTTAACAAAAATTGGAAAACGTTTGGGACTTTTTTCATAACCATAAAAAAATAATAATTTATTGTGTGCAACATAGTTATGCATTGTTTTTTGAAATGTATTATGTAAACACATTTAAATATTTGTTTACTTCCACTGTCAATACTAATAGATAGTGAATGATAAGATAATTACCACACATTTTATAAACAATGATATTACAGTATGTGCGTGTATTTATCAATGATAGAAAAACCAAACACAATTTATGCTTATTATTATTTATTGTTATTTGTGTCATTCATGCATTAGAGAACTTTGTACCAGTCAAGGAAACAGTACTACGCCTTCCTATCTGTGAACCACTTGTGATAAGGGCATCCATATAAGGTTTATTCATATTCACATAAAAACAAATTGATATTATCTTTATCTATTACTGCGTAACACGCACAATATTGCGTGACAAAAGTAATTCGGAGTTTTATGTTGCGGGTTAATAGAAGCATTTTATATGTCGGTTGTTTATAATCATATAACAAAAATTAGTTCAAATTATACAAGGGCCGTCTTGAGTATTTTATAGGCATTTAAGAAAAATTAATTCAATTTATGCAAGGGTCGTCTTGAGTATCCACGATGGGCGTTTCAGTTCAGACTAAAAGTTTTTCTACTTGTTAGCACACATATATTTTGTACAATTTGAGAAATCACTTCACCTAGTTCACTTCAGTTTTAACTAGTGGTTCATGATATTGTGTCAATGTGGCATTCGAGGAATGAAAATAATGGAAAATCAACAGAAATTGATCATTGTTATAGTTATAGTAATGGGTCGAAAATCGAAAATATTTTTTTTTGAATTTCTCGACGTTTTGAAGGTTTCTGAACATTTTGGCATACCTCAGCAAAAATGGATGTGTGTGTGTGTTTTGTGTGTCCGCATTTTTTCATAAAATGCACGTTTTTGGCCGCACGAATCAACCGATTTGAATGGTTCAAAAAACATTCGATTCCTATCGATAGGGAGAAGAGCTGATTAATTTTTGGCAAAGGCAGGTCCAGCCGTTTCGGGGATACGGAGCAAAGAGTGCAGAAAATAGAAATCGAGTTTTTGAGAGAACGGAGCATCCGATTTGAATGATCTAAAAAACATTCAATTAGTAATGATGGGGAGAAGTGTTTATTAGTTTTTGGCAAAGGCAGGCCCAGCTATTTCGAAGATACAGAGCTAAATATACAAAAAATGGCAGTTTTTGAGAGAAATAAGCATCCGATTTGAATAAAAAAACTTTGTGCTTGTGTTAACAGAACAAAATATTTGGCTTTTGGAAAAAAATATTATTTAATTTTTTTTTGTATATCGAACATAATTCAGATTTCAATTTAAATTCTGGCTAAAGCTTTAAAACTCACTCATATACTTTAAATAAATATTTTTGACTTCGTGATTCAGTTTATATAATTCTTATAAATAATAGACAATATTACAGTATTTATTTATAATAATCTATTTGAAAACATTTAATATTCCTCGAACATTTTGTTACGGTACGGGAAGTTTCAGCCTTAAGGCACGATGCTATACACTACTAGTTTTTAAATAGATTAATATAAATACTGTAAATTTTGTAAATCAAAATTACATGTAATTTTGCTACAATTTACAACCTATATATATCATAAAATATAACACCAACAAATAAAATAAGAACTAAAGAAAAAAGATGTTAGTTGTCTTTATTTGTGCAGAAATGATTATTTTTTATGTCACAATAAATAACCGTGTTACATGACATGATAAAATGGAATATACTTTTAACTCATGGCTAAACATATGTTTTTGCTTTTCATCTAATAATGCATGAATTAACTAGATTCGAAGAAGTACTAGTTAATTTTTTTTTAAGATTAATTATTTTAATCGTTTACAGCGCTAATTGCTCTAGATTATTCTTAAATGTATTAAGATATTTTTAGTCGTTGAAGTATATTTTTCATTTTTGAATCAAAATTTCAGTGCCTACCGCATATGAGTAGTAACTCCCGGACTGACGACGATTTGTGTTTTGTACTATACTCGTGTGTTGTTTCTCATTATATTTGTTTTGACCTCTTAATACTCATGTGTATACCGCATGCAATTCATAGATATTATGCGCAGTACGCAATGTACATGAACATTTCAAGGTACTGACACAGATTTCCTATTTTAGATCAGAATTTACTCAAAAAAATATGTCATATTGTCTTATCAGGCTAAGCGAGTTTTTATAACCATCTTAATTTTGCAGCTCCAAACTGTTTTTGACGCTCACTTTTCTATCGTTCTGTCTTTCCTCAACCTTCCTTTTTCCTATAAACTAAGAGGTGATTATTTTTGAAACCTTGACTTGTATAACATAAGCCAAAGATACTATATTTAAAGGTCTGCCAAAGACTGAGCTAGATCAGAGCTTTTCTAAAATTTAAGGAAACTTGATTTCCAAAAATCAGTGCCTTGAGTTACTTATTCAAGTACACCTTTTCTAACTATATTATATCTATATTTTTAAAATTTACTACTTAAAACTGTTCCAATTTAACATGACCTATGACTTTGTGTGCTTTCAAAATCCATATAATTATTTTTGCATAAACTTCTGTTTTTAAAAACGATAAATTTGTTTTATAATTTTCGCATAATTTTTTTTTTTCTTCATGAAAACATGTACAAACTATCTTGAAGATATAAATACATAAACTCACAATGAATTTTTAATTGGTAAAAATAAAATAAATAATTAATGTAATAGTATTTCAATA